ATTTAGAAGGCAAAATATTATGGTAAGTAGAAGCATTGTTTTTAATAACTCAATAGTGAAATATCTATTATATATTTTTTTATTTCAAATTAAATAATTATTATTAATACATAGATACATAGATTATACTTCCAAAACATCGATTTTGATATATAACAATGTACATTTATTCACTACGAAAATCATATGGTACAAAACATGATTTTAATGGTAAACTGTTCAATGTTTTCATTTCATATGAATTTTTTTCAAATTCCGACAAACTTTATAATCATTTATATTATCTATTTTTAATAAGCTGAATTTTTTTTAGATTTTATAATTTAAATTCACTCTCAGAGAATTTATAACGAATATTGCAATCTAAAAGGAGAGAGCAACTTTAGTAGAGTGATTTCAGGTTTCGCTATTAAAATTTTATTTCGTTTACATCATGCTAGCCATATCCTTTGCATTAATTAATTACAATGGCTTTTATACGAAATGAATCTTTATTGTGAATTCTGATATTAAATTTTTTTCTCGACGACTTTCTATATTTAAAATAATTACAATATATGAGGACGTGTATAAAATATTTATGATCACAATTGTCGAACAAGAATAAAATTAACTTATCAAAGAATATGTGTAATCTAGTAAAACGGGAAATAAGTAATACTTGACACATTCATAAATTATAAAATTAATAAAAATTTTCAATTTATTAGATCTCAATTATTAATGTTGAAGAAAAATAATGTAGAAATTTTTTAAAAAAAAATGCTAATTATAAAGAAAACAGCAAATATACTTTTAAAAGTTTACTAATAAATAACCAAGAGTTCCTTGAATAATTCATAGTATAATATTAGAATCGTGACAAAGAAAATAGAAATTTAATTATTGAAATATTCACTAGAGTGTAAAGTCGATGATTGGTTATAATTTATGTGTTTATATACTCTTAATAACTCAATTTTAATTCTTTAGAGAAAAAATACAATATTTTCAAGCAACAATTAAAAAAGATAGATACATTATACCTTATGATAATGCCTAACTAAAAAGAATCCAAATCATTCATTTCATTTTTTTTAAACATTAAATATTTTTCTGAATACATTAAATTATACATTACCCTATAAAAATGTATCAGGTCATGATTATCTTGGATCAAATATATTTAATTTATATATTTTTTTAAAAAAAAAATAATACACAGATTGACCGTGTTTGTTAGTTTTTGCATCACAATACGTATATCGAATTTGGCAATAAAAATATGTACCATAATCAATTTTTATCAATGTTCCATTACATATATAAGAATCATGAATTAATCTTCCAGATTGTACTTCTCAACTCTGAGCCTTAATCCTATTTGGCGTTTGTGACATGAACTTAAAAATAGAACTTCTTAAAAGAATTGTACACCCAAAGAATTTGCATGAGCTTAAAGAAGCATTATAAAAATAGGAAATATCCTATCTGATACTTATAATAATCTGATTGAAAGCATATACCAGAGGAGGATAAAGGTATTGCACGGTCAAGAATTAGATAATTTTGTAAATTTTTCATAACTGAGCTATATTTTTGATAACATATTAGCTAACTATTACTTAATGAAACATTTTGTTAAATGTTTGATTAGAGTAATGACAGGTATAAAATTTAAATTCTCTACTTGCACGAAATAGGTTCTCATTAAAGGATCAGCTTATTAGCTTTTTGAATATTTAACTAATTAATAAGATGCAAGTAATCACATTATGGTCAGACAATGACATATTTTATAATTTATGATTTTTGAGTTTCTGGACCTAATTTTCTCACTGTAAGAATGGCCACTTTAGCCTTTTAACGAAAATATAATACGCAACGTTAAAAAATAGAGATTTTTCAAATTCGATTTTGCGAATTGCAACATATTAAATTAAACTATTAATAAAAATATATTTTAATACAATAGGTGACTAATATGTCTGATAAAACATGGCTCATTTACAAATGAAATTTTACTCAATAATAATTTATTAATATAATTTAATTGACCGGATACTTGAATAGTGCATTCAAAAGTAATCGCAAATCGTCTGAATCTTTTGATCATTTAAATTACGAAAATTTTTGAGTCTGGCAAACAAAGATTATAAAGCTAATTTGTATATGAGATAGTAGGAATGGGCTTATAGTATTTTATAATTCTAATATACAGAGTTATATCATTATATGAGAAACAAACTAAATTTTTATTGCAAATTATCTATAAAATATATTGATTGTAAGGTCATTAAAACTCAGCCAATCTCCACTTTCTGCTTTTTTTCTTAACATTTATCCTCCTTTTTGAAATTCAAAACAACTTCTTAACTGCTAAATTGAACATTTGATTTCCTTTTTTTAAATAAAAAAAATAAATAATGATAAATCGACAATATTGAAAATGAAAAGTAATAAACATTGTTTGATTATATTATAATTTATGTAAAAAAAAAAACTATTTTTAGTCAGATAAATAAGAAATAAACTATTTACACTAATGAAAATAAATTGTTTTAAACTTCACTTTATTTAACATTAGTTTTATTATAATATTATATTTCAGATTTAAAATAATATTCAAGACTAACGCTTTATAAAAAAAAATTAATCATTTGGGAATTTATATCTGGAATTCCTCCATTTAATGATAAAATACATAATTTTAATTTCAAGTATTTTTTTAGAGGTGAATGTCCGAATTATTAAAAATAATATGATATAGCAGATAAACCTTAGAGCAAAAACAAAGTAAATTGATAATCCACCTGTTATTGAACTCATTCACAAACATAAAATACAAGTCATTTATTTGAATTTTAAATAAAGGAATATGAAAGTTTGGTTGTAAAATTGACGTGATAAGGGAATTAGTCAAGAAATTATAATATCAATTATGATTATACAGCATATTATCTCTAAATTTGATGGAGCATGATCTAAGTAATTTGAAATTATATTTTTTTTTATGTTCCTAATTATTTAAATTGTTCAATCTAATTTTTAGAGAGAGGACCAAAATTTAAAATCATGAAAATCTTCTATTAAAAAAGAAAAAAAAAGTTGTAAGTCAGTCATATTTAACAAATATTTAGAATAAATAACTAATTAGCTGAGGATGATAAATATTTGTATAATAAAATCAAATCAATCACCATTAAACGTTAAAAAATAAAGAAAATCGTTTTTCACGTCCGAATTCAACTCGTTAATAAAGGAGTATCTGTGTCACGGTAAAAAAAAATTTAATGTGATTTTAATAGTCTTTGAGCGACAAATAAATATACTTTTTAGGCGATACGTTTATATACCTTATTTTATACATTAACTCTAAAACCGACACTAATACTGATTAACAAGGAATGAATTGCATTTCATAAAGATTATAAGGAAAAGTAAAGTAAACGAGTTCGATTCAATTTATAAATTTTGAACAGAAAGCAAATCTGTTAATCCACTCGAAATAACTGATTTGAATTGGTGGATAGCCAGGATATAAGGGAATGTAATGATTGAAATTAAGTAACGATTGGAATGAAATTTGATCTAATACATAGTTGTTCTGCCCATATTCATTTAAATAATTCCTGGATAAACGGCATAACTTGTTATCGATTTGGACTATGAATCGTATGGTTGAATTTGATTTCTAAGAAACCTTTCAATTTTCATCAATTGAAAGATGCGAGGATGGGATCATAATAATTTAATAATTTCAATTTAAAGATTTTTGAACAGGAATAAAATTTTTTTAGATTTTTACGTCAACTTTCAGTTGCACTTGTAAATTTTCATAGATTGGGATTTTGTCATAAGGATTTTCATAGTGGAAACATCTTGCAAAGTGAGGGCAATATAGGAGCAACGTCATATATTTCAGATTTCGGTCTATCAGGTCCATCCGATAAGCAAAAATCGGATGACAAAATATATGGAGTTTTACCATATATTGCTCCAGAAGTCTTGAATGGGGATCTTATACTTTGTCGTCTGATATTTACAGTTTTGGTGTAATTATGACTGAATTTTCATCTGGAAATCTTCCATTTTATAATAGAAAGCATGGTTTAACTTTAGCTTTTGATGTATGTAATGGACTTCGCCCTGAATTTGGAAATGGAACTCCTGAATTTTTTAAGAAATTGGCTTATAGATGTATGAATGCAAATTCAAATCAAAGACCTAAGGCTTACGAATTGTTTTGCATACTGTGCTTTTGGAATATATCTATTGATTTTTATGAAACGTATAAAAATACTAAAAAAGATGGATATTATGGAAAAGAAATAAAAGAAGCATTTGAGGAAGCAGACAAAGAGATACCAAGTATATCAAACTCGCGTACAACGGATCCTGATGCTGTATACGTTAGTAGAGAATTTTCATTTCAAAATATAACCCAACCCATTAATTCATCATTTATAACTTCATATCTTGAAAATGATGAGAAGAATGAAGGTATGTTATATAAAATTATCATTTGTAATGATCATAATTTAATACTAACTAATATTATTGTAATAAAACAAATTAAGATTCTCAATTATTTGGATTAGAAATATCTAGCCAATTACTACAATTAAATGGTGATATTTTATTTAAAAATAAAAGCCAATAATTTGAATATTTTAAAATTAAATGTTATGTAATTATTTGCTATAAATTAATTTCTATATAATTGAATATAAATTATGATAAGGTCAATACATGAACTAAGTTTGTCAATTACATAATAATTAATGAGTTATGTAACGCTTGGAATTGATGCGGTTTAAAATGTAAAAATAAAAACTCAATATTTAATTCTCATATATTAATAAATCACTGGATATTCGTGGTTGATAATAATAAAATAAGTATTTAAACACCACACCACATTATAATAAGGTATTTACTTAGAATAACGGAATATCACCGTAGTCACGTGTATAATTGCTTGTACCACAATTACGTATTAATTACGTACATCAATTACTATGACTATAAAACTTTCGTCATTCTTATTTCTCTTTATACTTTCGTCATCCTCGTCATCCTCATCCTCTCTTTTATACTTTCGTTATTCTTATCCTCTCTTTTTATGTGACCTTTATCATTTTCAACCTCGATCAATATCTTCATTACTTTTATTTCCTATAAATATGGATGGTAAGTGATTTGTTTGAACTTTGTTTTATTTTTGTTAAAAAAAAGTTTCTTATCTTATTTAAAGACGACCAAGATAATGAAATAAATATGATAGGACAATATAATGAAGTTCAGCCTATTCAAACCAATGAAATTAATGTGGGTGATAATTTTATTTCATGGGAAGATGCTGAAATAAAACTTAATCAATATGCAAGGTTACTTGGATTTTCTCTACGCCGTAAACGGGTTGAATGTGATAATAATGGAATTTTCAAACATTCTTTAATTAGTCGGGCTCCCTTCGGTCGCCGGAACCTTGTAAAAAAATTTCACAGAATGTAGTGCAATCCAAATTTAATACATACATCATGCTTTTTATTGATCTCAATTAGTTTGAAATAATACATTTTTAATTTTTTAACGCCAAATTTAAATTTGATAGTATCACGTGATGATGCGGTGACAATCACCTCCGGTTACAGTTAGAAAAATTCTTATAAATAATATCTAGAATTTTTATTTTTATGTTTTTTGTTGTAATTAATAATCTTAGATAAATTTTTTAAAAAAATTTAAAATTTAAAATCATCCCCTGTGAAGTTATTCTAATCTCTACAATTTATGATAAAAAATTTTCACATTTTAGTCTTAAAGAATTGATTTATTTTCACACACGATAAAAAAATATAAAAAATATCACGAAAAAATCCGAAAAATCATAATCCTTAAAATCATAATCTCGAAAAGTTCAAATAATCAAAATTAATGCATTGAATCAGCAATTTGTTTAATTAATAATGTAATATTAATGTAATTTGTAAGCAATTCGTATATATTTCTAATAAATTTTTTTTCTATTGATAATAAATAGTAAATAAATAAACATAAATTTATTTATAAAATGAACGAATTATTCCACCCAAAAGTGAAACGATAAAATAATGTTCTTGGTAAAAAAACGAAAAAGAAGGTACATTTTATTAGTGTTGTGAGAGAAGAAATTCAGCAAATTGTAAGGAAGAGCAACTATAAATTTAATTAACAATTTACATCACCTTTAAAAATTTAATGATCACAATAAATTCCCTCAAGCTGGTTGTGCTGAAATTTCAGAAAGAACTAGCCGAACTGCACAAATTATACAACAAATATTATTGGTACTTCGGATGAAATTTATCCCTATATACCATCACAAAATGCTCTCCGTATGAAAATCAAGCGAGACGATAAACCATCCCTATAGCCTTCGATTCATATTATATTTCAGTTAATAATATGATCGGTTATATGAAGTTTGAGAAATTAAAAGAACATCACACTTTCTTTATCTAATCAATGAAACTTTTAAAATGTTATTAAATTATCAATAATGATATAAATTATCACAGGATTTTCACATCCAATAAGTAAAATTCTTGTAAGAATAGGAAAAGACAGTAATATATAACAGAAGAAGCCTATTACTTGGGACCATCGAAGGATTTGACATATTATGCAGTGTGTAAGGTAATATCTGATAATGGCTTTAAAGAAGCTCATGTGACCAGCGATCTGATCACATAAGTCATGCCAACACGCAGTTTAAAAAGTGAAATCAGAGTTACTTATATTAAAACTAATCTATGCATTATTACACACGAATGTACATGTACATGTACAGTACATCATCGTCAAAGTTAGGTTTATTTAGAAAAAAAAATTTGCTGGGCTGGTTAATATGTCCGATCTTGAAAAATTTAAGAAAATCTTGATCAGATACTTTTCCTATAATCTATAATTGATTTTAATTTCTAGGCTGTCCTTGTCAAAATATATAATATATATAATGGTTTCTCTTGGGAATTTAGCAAGCGTACCCTTCCCTTTATGTTTAGCAACAATATGTTCCTTCCCTTTTGTATCATTGCGATATTATTATTCTCGATATTTTATTATAATTCATTATTATTATTACTTCTCTAGGCGTTAATTAACTAGCAAGCATTAATTGATTTAATAAAACGGAATTTCGGAAGTGAAAGTTTTAAAGCAACACTTGATTAATTGATTTTATTATAATTGCTTATATTTTTCCTTTGGCTATAAATATAAACGTAAAGAACTGAACAAAACAATATTTACCAGACTTATATGATCTTGACTATGATTTAGATAATGATAATTGACATGCAAAAAAGGATAGGTTACCGCTATATATTAATACAATCCAACTGTTAAATATTTATAATATAATTCTCTTGGTGAAGTGGTTTCATCAAATTTGTTATTTTAAAATAATTTTCAAATTGGCTTTTCAGTATGACGTAATACTCCAAGTTAGTTTGATCAACTTGCTAGTGACAAACGGTGAGTCAAGTGCAACTTACAAATAATACAATAAATTAGATGATATCAAAGAAATAACAATTCCCAATTCTTTATCGAATCTAATTCACAATAGTACACTGGTTAATAAATTTTCTTTTGAATAGTAAACGTTTATGATGTGATTTATTTATCGTAATGGGAGTAATTCCCATAAAGAAATGATGATCCATGTTTCAATTTAAAAAATTTTTAATTATCATTTTTTTTGAACACGATATAAAAATTGTCATTTTTTTTTAATTTTTTTTTATATTCATTGTGCCGGAAAATTACAAATATAGTACATAAATAATTCTTGGTTCGATCTTTGCATTCGTTTTTGGTTTTAAAACCACGAAGTCGCTTTCATTTCTTTTTTCCATAAAAGTTCAATTCGTCGTCGAAAAGCTGATAAACAGCAGCAACAATATCTACTGCTGCTACTTCCTCTACTTAATATCTCTACTAGAGGATGGAACCGGTTTGGTATAATTCGATTTAAATTCGGTTTAAAACCGGTTGATTGCGAAAGTTCGAATTTAGTGAACTGGAAGTTTGTTTAATGTATAACTGTTAAAACTCGTTAATTTATCTTATTATTTTGACAAAAATTATGATTTATACTATATTTTATTAAAAATAAATGATGCGAATCATGTGCGATCAAAGGTTAATAAATTTTTATATAATGAAATTTAAATTTTTGAATTTGTACATTTTTTTTGACGATATTCTTTCGTTATATTATATATTTGTTTTGTGCGATTATAATGAACTTTTAATTCGAATTTAGATAATACTTCAGCAAATTGATATTACATCTTTAGAGTGATGGGACGTAAGCAAAAGCAGCTTTTATATTTTATCACAACTTGCAAAATAATATCTATTCATTCCTGCAACTTCTGTACCTAGCGAAGACATTGATTTAGACGCAAGTAATTATAAATATTTCAGCAAAACGCATCCGGATTTGTGAATCAAAATTTTCAATTTAATTTTTATCTATCATTTAAACATGCAATTAGCTTAATATTATAAAAATTTGTTAATATTATAAAACTTTTTAAAATTCGGTCTTTCGGGTTTATTGTGACCGAATGCTTGCTCGGTTCGGTTTAATCGGTTTATTTAAATTCGTTTTAAATTCGGGTCTCGAATTATAAAAGAGTTTAAACCGGATTATGTAAAAAAAAGTTCCAACCTCTAATATCTACCTTCTTCACCAACTATCAATGAGAAAATAAGAGTAGCGAAAATGCTAGATGAATTAAAAAGATCTATATTCGGATATCAAATCTATTTTGACGACTATTGTCAACTTATAAAGAATTTTGGCAGAAAATCAGACCGTTTGAACCAATATTTCCAAAACTATTTTATAAGGATATAATCGGATATCATTTCGACCCTTATACACCAATAGATATCTTATTTTTCCTCAAAGATGTAATTTATCATTAATAATTCATTTCTTGCTGAAAAAGACCTTTTTATGATTTATATATTTTATAAATTATTTTATTTTAATTGATATTATTTTTAAATCTTGTAAATAAATAATTTTCATAACTATTTCTAATATTTCTAATGAAAAAAAATATAATTTTTGTACTTAGTTATATTAAAATCCTATAACATATGGTAGTAAAATTGAATATAAAAAGTTTCCGGTCAGTATTAACCGTGACGTGATTACTGGTGTTAGACCTGGAATCTCTCAAAACTAAGCTAACAAATCAAATATAACTTAATATCACAATTATCTCAAAGGCTTTCCCATGAGAAATTAACAATTAACAAACAAAACAATTTACAATTCACTTAATATGATTCACTTGTGCAGTTATTATCATGATCAATCCTATGTTGGAGACAAAAAGAAAGTTGATAGTGTAAAATAGTAACTTTATTAATCTGTAGAATTATAAGTCTAGTCTCAAGACTTATTCAGAAATCTATCTGATCGAACTCTGTCGACTCAAGATCAACTTACAGGTCTATTTATATAAGATTGCTAACTAGCACTATACTACACTTTTTGATAAGTATAAATAATACATATAATGAAAGCTAGATAATATAATATAAGTAATAAAAAAAGAATATATAATATTTATAATAAAAAGTAAACTATTCAATACATATATTATAAAGTTGATCAAATGATACATGTATTACATATTTAGGGAATGGAAAAGTTCAGGTCCAGGACTTTAGGACTTAGACTTTGATCTTGGTCTTGGTATGACCTGATCCTAATTTTTAGGACTTAATTTAGACAGTTCCAATTTGGTCTTTATATAAATTTTAATAAATAATATAAATTAAAGTTTAATTTTACAGATATTTACATATTGCAATTTAATTATAATCACATGAATATGTAGATCGATTAGATTCTAATTAAACATTACATATTGCATCTTTTTATTATAAAATTATTCAGCAAAAATGACTTATTTGAACTATGATTTTGAAGATTTAAATGATATATAATAATAAATTTAATAATATAAAAATAAATAGCAATTTAAATTTGTAATATGTTAATTATAATAAATTATTAATAATAATTAAATAAAATACAATAAATTTAAATATTATAAATGATTAATTAAGATATTCAAATATAATTCACATTTATAAATTTTAAAGGATATTATACTATAAGGAATAAATTAGTTTAAAGGGTATATAATAAATTTTTAATGATCTAATAATATTGAATATTTAATCAAAAAGATGTTTTTTTAAAAAAAATAACGTATACACATTTACGTGATGTTAGTTGTTTACATTATTTATATTGTTTATTTAATAAAAAAGAAAACATGATCACATTTTTAACAGAATTAAAAACTATATATAGAGGCAGTATCCATAGGAGTGGAAGTCGAGGGCGTTAATGGTAAAATTAAAGTATTTTTTGTATAAAATATATGAAATTTAAGAAGGTTTTTATTTCTAACAAAACTTTTAACTACACATTAGAA